ATTAAAACTACCTCCAGACTAGTTGTTGGGTGTGCATGTCCACGTTGGTCAGTAAAATCTGATCAGCATGTGCACTGTGGTAGTGAACGTGCGCACATTTATTTATTTATTTGATTTATATGGTTTAAATCAGAAGAAAAATAAAAGGCCACTGAAGTGTGAAGTATATCTGTTATTCTGATTCTACACTGTGGAACTCAATTCCACCTTTTATTAGACAGTCGAGCTCAGCGCACACTTTAAAAACCATTTGAACACGTATCTCTTTAATGTAGCGTTTTATTACGTTTCATTGTCTTTTCTTGGCATTTACCTTTTTAATTTGATATTTGTCATTGCTTTGTATGAGATTTATTTATAACTCATAGTTTTATCTATTACTGTTAAACTTCTGTCTGTAAAACACTTTGAGCTGCCACTGGCATGAAGTTACTCAGTAAAGCTGTTATTATTATTATCTAAATAGTTGTTTGTGGCAATAAATAAATAATAATAAATAATAACAAATAAATATCCATGAATTCCAGCCGTTCGTTTACTAAAAAAAACAATACAACTTTCACATAAAAATATAAGTAATAAAAAAACTAGAAAAATTATGTAATCACATGGAAAAATTGTGCCATTTCAGGGAATGACATCACATGTGATCACATTCACATGATGTTACATATGTTTACTTGATATTGCATATTTTTAGATACTTAACATGTTACTTTTCACATCCACGTGAAAAAAAAAATGTGGTCATGTGAAAAAAGTGTGTTCACATAAAGTGTGATCACATGAAAAAGTTGGTGAGAAATTGTAACGGTGGAGGCAAGGAGGCGGGATGCAAATGTGAGTTGCTTGTATTGAAATTAGAGTCCAGGGTAGCAGAGGTTTGAAGAATGGACAAGTCCATGACAAAAACAAAACCAAGCTACAAGAATAAAGCAAACAAGAGACAAGAAAACATCCACAAGTACATCCACATTGCAAGACAGAGACTGAACAAACACAGGGGTATAAATACACAGAGGGGAAACAAGAAACACCTGTGACTAATGAGGGGCGGAGCACAGGCAGGTGGAACAGATAACAAGGGGCAGGACCAGGGAGGAGACACAGAACAACAACAAAAGCACATGGTACGAGAACACAAAAGGCACATGGCTACCATAGAGGGGACGAAAGACACACTGAGAGGGACAAAGGGAGAATCCGTGACAGAAATGTGATCACGTGAAAAATTGTGATCATGTGAAAATGTGTGATCACTTGTAAAAAAGTGATCACCTGAAAATGTGATCGCATGTGAAAAATGTGCAATCACGTGTAAAAAGGTGATTACATGTGAAAAAGTGTGATCACGTGAAAAATGTGTCACGTGTGAAAATATCACATCTGGAAAAAATGCATGATCATGTGAAAATGTGATCACATGCATAAAGTGATGGCATTAATGGTGTGACATCACAAGTGATCACATGTTATTCACATGATGTTACATGTATTCACTTGTGATCACATGATGTTTAGTCACATGTGAAGTATATGCGACTCCTCTATAAGGGCTGGATCATGTCTTTACGTATCAAAATAAATGCAAAACAGCATTAAGAAATCCCACTATAAGAGTTGAGTACAGGGTAGAAATAGATGCTTTTTATGAAGTCAAAGGGGACAAGGACTCTGAATGGTTCACCAGCGATATGTTAGGTAACAGAGGGTTAGACTTGCTACCCTTGGTGTAGTGTTAGTTCTGTAAACCTCAGTGGGTCCATATACGTGCTGTATGTGTGTGAATGAACACCTCATGTGGTGTCAGTGTGTGTATTGTGTTTAACTCAGGCTGTGTGTATGGAGGCCTGTGTTTTATACAGAAGTGCTGTTATAATTCACCAGTTTATTTGGAGCTTTCACTCCACACACACAGCAGGCCTGCTCTGTTTATCGTGTGTATTAATGTGTGTGCAAGTCTGTTTTACAGAGCAGAACGTCTTGCTTGACCAGCTAACTGTGAGCTTAGTTTGATCTAACCCGTAATTTTCTGTCGGATAATGCTATTTGAGTTTTTACTGGGGTACATAACCATGGCAACTTATGCTACATGCCAGATCCAGGGCAGGATTTCACATCATAAACAGCTCTTAGATCAATCAAGGTTAAACTTCTGACCAGTCATGGGCAGCTTTCTGACAGAGGTGGGTCCCTGGTCATTTTTTCAGCACACTTTTTTCTTACATAGTGACAGTGTTGCTTTTTATGCTGTTTGATGGATGAATCTGGGTTTAGTGGATACCAGGAGAACACTACCTATCGTAATGCATAGTGGCAACAGTAAAGTTTGGTGGAGGAGGGATAATGGACTGGGGCTGTTTTTTAGGCCTCTTGGTTCCAGTGAAGGGTGTTAATGCAACAGCACACAAAGACATTTTACACAGTTATATGCTGCCAGCTTTGTGGCAGTAGTTTGAGAAAAACCCTTTCCTGTTCCAGCATGACTGAGCACCTGTGCACAAAGCGAGCTCCATAAAGACCAGTTTGGTGTAGAGGAACTCCAATGGCCTGCACAGAGCCCTGACCTCAACCCTACTGAACACTTTGGGATGAACTGGAATGTCGATTGTAAACCATGCCCTCTCGTCCAACATCAGTGTCTGACCTCACAAATACTCTTTTAACTGAATGAGCACACAGACACACTCCAAAATCTTGTGGAAAGCTTCCCAGAAGAGTGGAGGCTGTTATAGCTGCAAAGGGGGACCAACTCCGTATTAATGCCCATGGTTTTGGAATGAAACGTCCAACAAACTCATACAGGTGTGATGGTCAGGTGTCCACATACTTTTGGCCATAGTGTATGTGCATGTATGTGTGTGTTTGTGTATGTGTGTATTTGTGTATTTGTAAGTACAGAACTGCATCTAGGTTTGTATACGATGATTTACAGGTTTTTGTTTGTTTGTTTATGTTTGATCAATCTGAAGTGCACCGTATAAGCATAGATGAGCGTGCGCTGAAAAAAGTGCATTATTGAATTTAGTTGATGCAGATGTGTGCATCATTTTCCACAAAGTCGTTTTTGGGTTTATTTACTTTTGGCAGTTACTGTGTTGATGTAATATATTTTAATAATGTGGAAATGATGTTCACATTTCAGTGCAGCACTTTGTTTAGTGTGTCTATATGTTGGTGTATATGTGCTTCTGTATTTGTGAGTTTTGGTTTTGAGGAGCTCCTTGTTTATTTGTTTATTGGGAGGCTGAAGTGGGAAGTGTGTGCATTCTCAGTGAGTGTCTCTGTGGGCTAACCAGTCTGTTCTCTCTCTTCTACTGTGTGTATCTTTCCCCGTTCACTGTTCTCTTCCCCGGTGTGTATGTGTGTGGGTGCGTGTGTTTGTTTATGCATGTGTGCTGTCGTAAATAAATCACATCCAAACGTTCAGTATGCAGTAGCTGTTGTGTGTTTTTGTGTGGGTCAGCAGTGGGTCATTTGTGAACCCGCTAGGTGTGTAAAGCCAGCAGTGTACACATGCAGAAAAAAGTAAACTACGGTGGCTGAGAAGACCCAACAAACTGCAAATAAAAAACAAGCTGCAAATGCAGAAAATACTTTCATCAAAATGACGACACAGACATTTCATTTTATAAGCACGCTGCACATACAGAAATTGTACTATGAATAGGGTCTTGTCAGCCACCGTATAGTAAACAAACATGCTGTAATAAGCTAGGGGTGCATGGATACCAGTACCGTGCTCATTTACACATACTCTTACTCATCCACTGATGCCAACATCCCATAGCAGATGATACCATGTGACGTAAGCCAAGTATAAACTGCCGTGCTAAAGAACAAACGACTCAGGCTGGCAGTGAATAAGGGTCTGTTTTGCTGTTGGATACAAAGTCATTGATCACTTTAAGCAAACTGCCTTGGCAGATTCCCACCCATTTAACCCACTTTTAAACACACACAAACACAATCACAACCACTTTCCCCAATACGAGGGAAGATATATAAGCTAGCAAAACTCAAATTTGTGACCAAAGTCCGTATATGCTGAATTTGCTCTGTTTGACTAAATAGAGCAGCAAGGTATAATCTTTAATATGATTTAATTTTTTAAATTGTCTTTGTAAAATAGGCTGCAGAGAGGCCATACCATCCTACCATGTACATCAACTGGTTTTAGTACAGAGCAGTGCTACCATAGCTCAGCTTCTCAGGGTTTCTGCTCAGTAATCAGCTTGTAACGTGTTATTTTTGAAACAACTCAACCAGCCAAAACGACTTTAGCAACAAGAAACATGAACTGTTTGGATGCATTAGCTTTAGATGTGATTGCTGCTGTCGCTGTTGTTGAAAGAGACAGTGCTTTTTTTTTTAAATGGTTAAAAACCTGCTCTTCTCCACTGCAGGAAAAACGTGATCCAAGATAACTAACGTAGCATAGTTAGCTATTGTGCAACATTTAAAGTAAACTAGATTTAACAATTTAACTGTTAAGATACATTGCAGCCATTTACAAGAACATTTACAAGAAGAATTTTAAGTGTGTAACACAGTATGGTACTGGACTTAATATCAGTGAGTACTTAAAAATATTTACTGAAAATCATGATATTGATGCATCCCTAACAGCGCTGATTAGGTCCAGTCACAGTCGGTGGGGCTTCAGAACAAACAATGCAACCATTTGGAGCAATGACCAATCACAGTCAGGGGGAGGACTCAGAACAAATAACACTGTGATTATGACCAATCACAGTCAGGGGGAGGACTCAGAACAAATAACACTGTGATTATGACCAATCACAGTTAGCGGGAGGTCTCAGAACAAACTACATGGTCATTTGGAACAATCACAGTCAGGGGAGGACTCATAACAAATAACACTGTGATTAGGACCAATCACAGTCAGAGGAGAACAAACATGATGATTGATCAATTCTAACATTTCAAAATCGACTGAGTTTGACTTTCATGCAGTACTGTATTTGTTTGTGTTTCAGGTGGGAGGTAAGTGAGTGGTCTCAGTGCTCTGAGCCATGTGGTGTGGGTCTGCAGACACGCAGTGTGTGGTGTGTCAGGTCTGTGGGGGGTAACATCACAGAGCCAGTGGAGTTGTCCGAGTGCAGAGAGATCAGACCCCCGGAGCTACAGGCCTGCAACCAGCACCACTGCCCACCAACCTGGGAGACAGAGGAGTGGCAGCAGGTAACTTTCATTACACCACCATGGAGTTCATACATAGACTTCATTCATATATAGGGCTCATTACACCACCATAGAGTTCATGCGTGGAGTTTATTCATATATAGGGCTCATTACACCACTATAGAGTTCATATATAAAGTTCATTCATAGATAGGGCTCATTACACCATTACAGAGTTCAAACATAGATTTCATTCATATATAGGGTTCATTATACCATCACAGAGTTCAGACATAGATTTCATTCATAGATAGGTCTCATTACACCACCATAGAGTTCATGCGTAGAGTTTATTCATAGATAGGGTTCATTACACCACTATAGAGTTTATACATACATAAGGTTCATTACATCACCATAGTGTTGCATGCAAAAGTTTGAACACTCCTGGTCAAATTACGTTTTGTTAATTTTTTAAGTGAAAGGAAGCACAACCCCTGCAGACAACAATCTTTAATATGACAAATTTCTGCAAATTTTAGTGCACAACGTCTAATTATTTGCCAAGTTTAACATATTGGAAAAAATAAAACATAAAATGTACCATAGCTTTTGCATAGAACACATTTTAAAGGTGTTTTTCCCCCTAACATAATAAATTCAGCAAATGAACAGTAATTGTTTGTTAAAATGAAAATAAGTTAACACATCCTCTACAGAGAACGTACCTGCACTTTAACCAACTTTAACAGTTTTTCTTAATAGAAGCAGTTATGTTTTTTAAACATTTATTCTAACAGCTTGTAAAGAGTTGCAGTGCGTATCTGAGGGTGTGTAGGTGTGTTTGGTTTGACTGTGCTCTGTGTGTGTGTCCTGCAGTGCTCTCAGGCATGTGTGAGGGGAACACAGTGGCGGAAGGTTTACTGCAGGCAGCGTCTGGCCGGCGGGAGCTTCCGGAAGCTTCCGGATGAAGAGTGTGATGGAGTTAAACCTGCTACACACCGGCCATGCACAGACACACACTGTCTACAGCCACACCTGGATGGGGGAGAGTGGTCCAAGGTGTGTATGTGAGAGGAAAGCTTTACTGCTCTGTGCAAAAGTCGATGACCACCGTTCATTCAGTTAATGTTTTGGTGATATTTCTCAGGAGATTAGATACAAGATAAGGAAGGAAGAATAGAATGATAGCATAAGGAAGGAGAAAGTCCAAAGAAAATAAGTGGAAAGAAGACAGGAGTTTTCAAGACTGGAGTTGAAGTGCCCGCCCCAGAGTCCCTTACTTCAGAAATTGCTAAACCAACTTCTAAGTCTGAACTTTGGAGGTGTGGAAAAATATTCCTGCAGATGTCTTTGAAAAACAAAGCGAGTCTCCTGAAAAGAATGGAGGCTGTAATAAAGGTAAAAAATGGACACATTAAATACTGAAAAATATGGTTATATTTAGTTGTTGAGGCTTCTGTATTTTCTGTTATGTGCGTGTTTTGTGCTTTGTTTCATGATGCTGAGGAATCAAAGACTCGTACCTAACTAACTAAATGAATGGTGGTCTCTGACTTTTGCACAGTACTTTATGTTGTGAAGCCTTCAGGTAAATTTAGTTGCTTGAAACTTGCATGAAATTAAATAGTAGTGTTTCAAGAGCAGCAGTTTCAAACAGATTTCATGAAATAGCCTAAAATAAGCTGGTTCTATCCAGCTTATTGTTGCAAAGCTGATACATTTTGTATCTTTTGTAAATTTACCCCCGAATGTCACCTGATCCTACAAATTAAGTTTGTTTAGGGGAGGAAATACAAATATTGCTATATTGTATATCTGTACTACAAGCATACTAACACTCCTGCACACTTGCATGTTGCATGAAAGTAAGTCTACTGTTAAACCTCAAGACTTTAATACACCAACATCAGCTGCTGAAACTGCATCCTAAAACTGCCATAGCGACTTAACTACTGCATTTGACAAAGCTTGCTGATTTGTGTGGGGTGTTCTGGTGAGGTTATCATGTCAATTTAGTGTGCAGCAGTGCTAGCTGGCATGTAGCATTATTTGTATTTTGACTTTACTAAACAATCTAGTAGTCAGAGGATCGAATGACGCTCAGGGGGGAAATCTACATATCATGCAAATATGATACAATAATGAAAAGATGCTAATATAAGTCTCACAGATGAGTTCATGTAGCCAGAATCATACAAATAATGAAACATACTAGCTGCTACTCTAGTGGAGGAATACGTTGCAAATGATTCTCAGTTTGACCATTTAAACTCAGCCTAATATTTTTCTCTGTGAATGTATGTGTTTAGTGCTCTGTGACCTGTGGAAAGGGGATCCAGCGCAGGGAGCCTGTATGTAGAAGGCTGACAGTGTCTGGGCAGCTAGTCACTCTGGACAGATCCGCCTGCAGCGGCCTTCAAGCCCCACCACTAATCAGAAGCTGCCGCATGAGCCCCTGCAACAGTAAGGGTCTTATCCCCCGCCCTTTTCAGACTTAACCCTGTATTATCTGAGTTTGATCTAGACTTATGCTTGTTGGCACCCAGCCAAAAGTCATCATAGTCATCATAGTCATCAAGTGACCTCACTTACTGCCCAAAGCAAGTTCACATCCTTCATATGAGGTAATGATTTATTTTAGTGTTTGAAGCTCTTGGAGATTATCAGAGATATGTTCTGATCAAGTACACACTGGAGTTTTTAGAAAAGATGGGCACTGTGAGTATGTTATCATGTCCAAGATGATAAAATCATAAAATGAGGCAAGCACTGAACACTCTGCTTTCACACGGGGCTTTCTAGCTGTGTGATTTCAGCCCAGCCTTTTGATAACATTATATTCTAGATTGATTGGTCTTGACAAAATCTCATCGAGATACAATAGTGTTATAATTGAGAATTGATCCTTTAGACTTATCATTCTGGATATCTTTTGTATTAGGTATAGTTCCGTACAGTGTTTATATTCTCACAAGTTATCTGTCTTAAAGCATACAGGACACTCCATTTTTTGTTTTTCTCTCATGGTTTTCATATCTCCAAATTTTCATGAGGCTTTTTATATCCCATGTGATTCTTTTGATACTCTGGGCTTGGAATCAACATTTACAAGCCAACTTTCAGAAAAAGGGTCTGAAACAGATTATTTGCGGGGTTTGAAGAATGTTCTTGGCTTTTGTGTAGCTCATTGTGGCATGTTAGAGACTTGTCTGGTAATAAGCACTGGAGTCGTCAGCTAGCTGGCGGGTTGAACCTCCTGGAACTTTCTGAACTTTTCTGTCATGTCTGCAGAGCACAAGTACTCCAAGAAACGATGCCCTCAGGTTCTGGGCCTGAAACGCATCTACATCCAGACGAGGCAGGAGAAAAGGTTGAGTTTCACCATCGGAGGAAGAGCTTATCTGCTTCCAAAGACATCCATAGTAATCAAGTGTCCAGTACGCCACTTTCCCAAAGCTCAAATCCGCTGGGAGAAGGATGGCCAGGATCTTCAGAATTCCAAACGTCTAAGCATCACAAAAAGTGGAGCTTTGAGGATATACAGTCTAGAGGCTGGAGACATTGGGCAATATCGCTGTTGGGCCAACCAGGCTTCAGACATCTTCATCCTGAAACTTATAGGCCATGATAACAGGCTTCTGGAACATCCTGAGGGGAAGAGCTTGGGGAAGGAGAAAAATAATGGTGGATCCAGGACTTTCCCCAACAAAGAGGGAGGTTATGTTAGTACCAAATGTCAGGACCAGGAGGAATTACCACTTGTCAAGAAGTTCCAAAAACCAGGTCAAAGCTGGGTGCAAAAAAATGAGTTTTATCTAGATGAAGGCCAGCCTAAGGAGGACCCAGTGGCTTTGGGGAACTATCTTCTTGCCACTAGTTCTGCCAGTGATTCCCTGCTTTCAGCAGCTTCTGGAGCTTTCAGCCTAGAACCATCTCAGTTTGAGGAACTGATGAGGAATATCAGCCAGCTTGCAGAAAGTGGGGATGTAACAGATGATCTTGCCTCCCACCTTATTGGCAAGCTCATGGAAGAAATGGCAGCAGCACAGGCCACCTCAGATAAGGGGGCAACCACTCAAGAGAGCACACCAGTTGGTATACATCTAGACAGGACTCCTAACTCCTCAGAGCGCTCTGGTACAAAGAGTTTGAAAAGCCGAGCAGTCATCATTCGACACAAGCAGCATGGGTCCACCATGAGCTTCCAGAGGGACCTCCAGATCAATATAGGCCGGACTGCCTACATAACCAATGCCACTCACAGTCTGACAATTCTGTGTTCAACTCAAGGGCTCCCTTCACCTGCTGTGTCCTGGATGAAAGATGGACTACCGCTAGGAGACAGGTAAGCTTACTCAGGAATCCAAAATTGGTCCTGGACCTTTGTCCATGCTGGCACATCACAAGGGACACCAACCACCCTTGTACACCCTTCGGTGCACAATCATTGGTCACTTCATATACACTAATTAGTTTGGCTTTGCAATAAACAATCATATGGCTTATATTACTTTATCACTTTGCTATTTAAGATATGTTTCCTAACTACCTAACTAAGCAATTATCTAATAATGACCAAATTAGCTGGTCAGTTATCTATATACTATAGCCTTGCTGTGAGGCTGCTAGCTAGTAAACTTCCCTGCTTACAAATAAGCACAATTAGCCACCTTAAGAAAGCTGCTGTGCTTCACCACTTGTGGTAAACAGGGTACAAATGTTGATATGAAATTCAGGTGTAAAATAGTCTCTTACACTGAACATCAGTAAGTTATAACACCACTGACTGTTACCAAAGTTTTTCTAAAATATAGTCCACTGCCCTTTTAGTTTCAAAGTCACATTGTGTGCAGAAATATTGCATTTTTTTTATTTTCTTATAGTTGTAATATCACTTCACACTTCGTAACACCAGCTGTTTTGCAACATGTGAAGCTGTAACAACCAAATTTAATAGAAATATGCAAAAAAAATTCACTAAATAAGGACTTCTCAGAGTTAATCTTTCTTTCTTTGACATAACTATACAAGAAAACCACTGACAAAATTGATTATTAAAATAAATTTATATTAAGGACTTGTACAGTCAACAGTAAACTCTTAAGTACTAGGAAATTATTTTAAGTAAAATTACTATGCCCATTATCAGTTTAATATATATATATATAACTTATTAGTGTCATTTCAATGTAAATTATTTAGACTGTTTTGGTACTTTTCATAAATTTACCCAAAATAATTATCTAGTACTTTGAAGTTTGTACCTCACATTTAGAACCAGGGGACAGTTAAATAAGCGTTACCAATATTTACATATTTTAAATAATTTTAACATTGTAAAATCAAAAATTCAATTTTTAAAATTTACACTGAAAAGCAAGAATCACAGTTGTTGTTTCACATTTTTAAGGTTGAAAAGTTTTCAAAGTTTTGGGACCTCTGTAGTCCTTCACTCTGAGGAAGTCCAATTAGCACATTTTATTGCATTTGCTACTTCTTGCTCAAGTCATTTAATTCTTTGTAGCATAGTTTTTTCAGCTCCTGAAGCTGCTCTTTTTTTTTTTTGAAGGTGCTCTTTTCTCTGGCCTACGTTTGGTGGGATTTTTTTAATATAAAGGGCTGTAGTCGTACTGTATGATTGGGCAGGTGCACTGAGGATACGGCATGTGTGGGCCACTCATTATCTCTCCTTTCCTTTGCTTCTCTTCTCTCACTGTTTGTGGACTGACTACACAGCCAATAGATAGAGTGGCCCACTGGGAATTCTTCTGGTGCTCCCGGCGGCCGGTCCTTCCCTGAGCTTACTTAATGTCTGGTTCTCTTCTGTATGCACAGCACACGGTGTACATGGTGTTCAGTCTAGTAAGATAATTCATTCAGCACAGATTATCATGTAGAACTTGCAGTATCTTGCCATGAACTCTTACTCTCACACAGCTTTGTACTTTGCATGTAGGTTAGAAAGGGAATTTTTTTATTGGGACATCCAGCGACACCAAGTATTCCAGTACAATAATAGTCCAGTTACTCCAAAGTTATCTTGCTAAACAATGAGATTTAATATTACACTTGCACACAGGCTCTCTGTTGGGTATAAAAGTGATAAACTGTGCTTTTTCTTCCAGATTTGGTTTGAGCAACTTGCGTCCCCAGCATTTTTTTAATCACCAACCTACTCAAACATTCACCTCCTAAATTCTCACGTAATGTGGTCGGTTCAGGTCAAATATGTTGGCTCTCCTCCGTCTCTCTGGGGTCACATTGTGGTCTGGTGTGCTTCGCTCTACTGTTGACTATTAAATACACTCACTGAAAACATTGACTTAGTAATTCGGCTTTGTGCAGCACGGGGCCTTTAGGGCAGCCTCCACCCAGACAGTCGCCAAACACTGTCTGCCCGTCTTCCTGGCGGGGCGCTACAGGACCTGAGTGAGACATGGCTGTGCAAACAGCAGCCCGACCTCTCCTCGCCGTCTCATCAGGGAGGCGCTGCAGTCTTGGAGAGAGTCAGAGACACTGTAAATACAGTTCTACACTGATGTTAAATGACATTTACGGGATTTTAGAGGGCTTTCTCATAGGAGTTAACGCTCAGAGGTGCACAGCTATTTTTAGCATTTTGTTGTACATTCAATTTTCCTTACATAAGTATGTAAATATAATTAAGCAATTATGTAATCATAGTGCTTGCAATGCGAGCACTATGATTACATAATTTAAAAGTCAAGCCAACTTACTGTTCTTTGTTTTATTGTTGGAGGCTTTTTTGTACCCTTTCCCCAGGTCACAGTTTTTGAGCTAGAACCACAGAACTTTTCAGGATTGTAGAGCCTATAAGAGAATAGTGCACTTCTGCTTTTGACCGATCGCACATATATTATTTGTAAAGCGTGGGATACCATAACAACAGCCTAGCAACACCTTAGCAACCACCTGGGATACCATAAAAACAGCCTAGCAACACCTTAACAACCATCTGGCATTCCATAACAACAGCCTTGCAACACCTTCACAACCTCCAGGGATACCATAACAACACCTTCACAACCTCCTGGGATACCATAACAATACCTTCACAACCTCCTGGGATACTACAGTAATGCCTGGCAATTTCTTTTCTTTTCTTTTCCTTCTTTCTTTCTTTCTTTCTTTAAATTACATTTTAATTCTCGGTTCATTCCTTAGAAATATTACTTTATTTTCTTGCCTTTTAAGCACAATCTCTCCTTCAGGAAATGCAAATCTAGTTATTTGATTGTATTTACTTTCAATGACATGAATTATTATTTATTTAATGACAAAAAATGACAAAAACATCTCTTTGTGCAAATCACACATCAATAACTTTTTGTCAGACTCCAATCATAATAAAATATCTCCTCTTCTGCTTACAAACATAAATGTATAGACTGAAAGTTTAGAATGTGCACTTTCCACACAATTTTCGAGAAGTAATTAATTTACAATTATATGTTTTTGTTATTGCCAGTGATAAGTGTGATTTCTAAGCATTAAAGTTTGCTACACTTAGTTTTTTTTTACTTATTCAGTGATCTAAGGCTGCATTCACATATTTGAGTTTTGCACTGCTTTTCTCCCACTTCCCTCTAAGGCTGCAGCATAAGAACCTCACTGACTTCAGCTCTAACCCAAATAGCATCTAGATTAGTCTCTGAACAGGGCAGTTACGCAGCTCAGCGCAGCCTCAACAGCATCGAGAACAACCGTGGAAAACAATGCCGTACTTTCCTGTTTTGTGCTATTTTGACTGACCTCTTGCCGTCTCAGCTGCAACTCGTTTGCACTATAAAAGTATTTTGTCTGTTCATAAAAACAAGAGAGACAATGAGCAGTTGAACTGGTCTAATTTGCATCATATAGATATAGATCATATAGATATCAAAATCATGCTGTACTCAAAGCTTATTGAAACATGTGGAGAAATGATGTGGAAAGTGCATATTCTAAACATTCAGTCCATACCGTATTTGTGTTTGTGAGTAGCGTTTCTTGGCATCAAAACAAACATAAAGTATAAATGCAATTGATTGTATATGCAGTCAAATATGTAATTGCATATTGCATTTGCATAGTATAGTAAATATATATATATATATATATATATATATATATATATATATATATAGTATAAATGTACACCTGTGTTTCCTTCTGCAAGGCCTTCCCTGAAAAAGACGTTGTCTGCATGGCAGCATATGTTGCCAAAACATGTATATATCATTCAGCATTAATGGTGCTTTCCAGATGTGCACATCACCCATGTCATGTGCAGTAATGCACCCACTAATGCATTTGAACTGTGCGCTGATAACAAGCTGGGTGGTCTTTAGCCCAGAGGACACAGTGTCCATGATTTCCAAAAAGAATTTCAAATGTTAACTTGTCAGACCACAAGACACTTTTCCACTTCCCCTCAGTCCATTTTAAATGAGATCGGGCCCAGAGAAGGTGGCAGCGTTTCTGGATCCTGTTTATGTATGGTTTCTTCTTTGCCTTTTAGAGTTTTAACTTGCATCTGTGGATGCAGCAACAAACTGTTTTCACAGTCTTTTCAGAAGTGTTCCTCAGCTCATCCAGTGATTTCCACTACAGAATCATGTTTGTTTTTAATGCAGTGCTGCCTGAGGGCCCAAAGATCATGGCCAGCAAATACTGATTTTTGGCCTTGTTTCTTGCATACAGAGATTTAACCAGATTCTCTGAATCTTTTAATGTTATTATGTACCATTGATGATGAAAAGCAAAAGTTCTTTGCTATTTTATGTTGAGAAATGTTATTCTTGAATTGTTGCACTATTTGATCATGCAGTCTTTCACAGAGCGGTGAACTCCTCCCCATCTTTACTTCTGAAAGACTCGGCCTCTCTGGGATGCTTTTTTATACCCAATCATGTTGCTGACCTGTTGCCAATTAACCACCAGGTGGTTTTTTTTTTTGGCATTACACAACTTTACTTGCCTTTTGTTGCCCCCGTCCCAACTTTTTTGGAACGTGTTCCTGGCATCAAAATCAAAGTGGGCATCTATTTTTCAAAAAACAATAAAATTTCTCAGTTTCCACATTTGATATGTTGTCTTTGTACTAATTTCAATGAAATATAGGTTTTAAACCATTTGCACATTATTGCGTTTTGTTTACATTTTGCACGGCATCCCAACGTTTTTGGAAATGGGGTTGTATTTGGCCAATAGTAATTTTATATTTTCAATATGTTCTGTGTAACATCTGAGCAGAAAGAGGGTTTTAGTATTAAACGTGAAGCTTATATCTTAATATATATGCACCACACAGGGTGAGGACAGTGCAGCATGCATATAAAACTG